AATATTAGGGAGTAATAAACTCACACATCATCAATGATAATTATCCTTACAAGATCATGTCATTAATAGTGGCAGGTGGTGCATCTGATACTTAGACCTTCAGTGTGCACCCCTCAACTTAATCTTCTTCTTGACGTCTGATTCTAACTATATATGTGTATATGTATATGAGTATATAATAACATCCACTATTAGAGACCAGTTCTAACAGAAACAAATGGCACTGAGGGAATGCACATGCTATTTTGGTAATACAAAGGTTGGTTGTTTCATAAGGGGTTAATATAACCACCTTTCCATTTGAATAAATGGAAGCTTTTCTGTTTTAATGAAAGAAACCACAAGTAGTATTCAAATATGAAATGTAACAAGTGCAGGTATAACTGAGAGGAAGATTAGTGTGAATACAGAGATCATGCAAGAAGCCCATTTAAGACAACCGCAATCCTCTACTCTATAACCACAGCTCCACCACATTTACAGCACCAGTTGCCCTTCAGATTCAATATGCATCTAATTACCAGATCAAATGGAGCATAAAGCATGAAAATAAAATATATCCCACTCACCAGAGATGCCTTTTGCAGGAAGTCTTAGTATCTCAATTTAGTATCAACCATTGAGGCCAGAAAAGCACATCTAAAATGCAGCTTGTGGTTAGCTCAACTTGGCTGTAAACATTTAGCTGTAATTGACCAGTCAGAGGACAGAAAATACTGACATTTGCAGAGGCGGATTTAGGAAATGTGGGGCCCTTGGCAAAGACAGGCAGGGGGCCTCTGTCCTAAGAAGACAAGAATTAAAACAGCCCCATTATACAGATATAGAAATTCAAATAGAATAGACATACATTGTTTGTTCTATGTGTTGTCCCTCGCTTCTTGTCCCTTTTCTTGTTGTTTCCCTCTCTTATGTTTTGTACTCAGCTGACTTTTCATCTGAAAAAAACTAAAGATTTTTTCCAGTCACTAAGCTCACTTAGCTAATTGCTCCTTCCAGTGTTTTCAAAAAGGCAACGACAAAAGTAAATAACCCAGTCCTTCTTTTCACTGTAGAAAAGCCATGATCTGCTTATCTGTTCTCCATTTTTCATTTGTATGAAATAATAGGCTATTTAGCGAAAGGATTTTATCAAAAACATAATTAATGCGCACAAATAAGGAATAGTTTGTAAAATTCAGTTTGATTAAAATCAAAACTCACAATATACTCAAAGGGGATTCTATCACAGGAATCAGGTAAAATATGTTACATTATTAATTTAATACGAAAATAAAAGTTATCAACCACTTACTAAAAATTTTGTTGATTTTTATCAACAATGACTAAAAAAAAACACAATACTACAAAGAATCAATAGTTCATTAAATAGTAAGTTGGTATAAAGACATCAATAAACAAATATTCTTTATAAACAATTTATAAGTTAAACTCAAAACACTCAATTTATATCAGCATAACCCTAATAACTGAAAGTCCAAAACTGCCCGTTCTTTTTATTTTTAATAATAATGTCCTCAAAGGAGTTCCATATCCCCTAAAAGAAAAATAAAGTCTAGATGTCGTCTTTCTTTCCCCTCGGCAGCATCTTCTTGCACCGGGTGGCGTCCTCTGGGTAAAAACTCCGATCAGATTTCTAAATGCCCATTCTGCGGCGCTGGGATGAACTTTGATTGCTGTTTTATCTTTCTTCTTTTATTTTTAACTAGTTTTAACATTCAACCAAAACAAAAACTCCCGCTGCACAGATCTGACAGTGTGCGTCTTCCTCTCTGGTCAAGTCGTGCGCGCCAATGCACACACCCCTTTTTATTAACTAATTTTCTCCACACCAGCATTTTAATCCCCAACATCAGTTTTAACCAGTGGAGATTTGAAGTAATATTACTGATGGAATAATAACTGTTTTACCAGTTTGTTACCAGTACACTTTAATGTACTTATACAAGAAAAGAAAATAACATAGTAACATGTAAACAGAGTGTTGTGGGCCCCCCAGGAATTAAGGGCACTAGTTTTGCTTAATGGTAAATCCGCCCCTGCGTTTGCATGCACCAGTTAGCTGGCCCAATGGGGCAGATCTGAAATCTGATTGGTTGAAGAAATATGAAGTAATATTTTTAAGGTAAGATCAGCCAGCCAGCACTGTTGATCCTGAAGGCCCTGGGCAGATTTGATTGACATAGCAACGCTCTAAGGCTGAAATCTGATTGGACCAAAAATATAGAGACCACATAAATCTAATGGAAGCAGTGCAGCAAAGAGAAATGCTACAAAATGAAGAGAATGGATTGTTTGGGATAAATAATACAGTTGGATATAAGAAAAGTAAAGTTTAGGTCTTTTAGGAGCACTTTTACAGCATTGTGCTTTTTACTTCTACTTGGCAAAAAAATATGAAAGAGTATCACTACTCACTAAGAGTATCACTACTCTTATTTGAGTAAACTTTCCGGCTACTTCTGAGTCAGCTGTGATATTTGGAGGTTGACTAAAATACAGTATCCTGTAATTTAACATACTCTACAGAAACTATAGATTTTGTAAGTTTTAAAACTCAAAAGATGTATTTTGAAGAGTGTTCATTCCACCTAATTCTTTGTTGCCTAATTGCTGAATGCTATATGTTTATTGTTTATCTTATTCTTTAAAACACCAGAATTTGCATATTAATTAATATTTAGTTACATTTTACTTAATTTGCAAAATATAGAATCTGTTCTTATGATTATGGGTAGTGAGTAGATCATTTACTCAGTACTCGCCTTTTCACCAAAGACTTTTTTACTCTTTTTACTTTCACTTCAGTAAAAATAGTAGTTAAAAATAATAGTTTTTGACCCATCACTGCATAAGTTGAATTTACAAAGGTCAATAAAAAAATGAATAACTCAATGGCTGCATGTCCAGAAGGACCGAAGCACTTGTATACCAAATTCTCTTCTCTCTTAATACCTAACATTGTTTTTATGACTTCCTGGATGCAGTGAATCCCTCTCAAAACTTTTATATATAAAATTAATTATAAAATGAACATGTAACTTTAAAAATATGCTTAAAACAGTAGTGGGCTCATGGGGGCACAATAGCTATCCATGGAAAGTCAAAGCACCCCCAAGAAATATTTTGATTAATACTTCTTTATCAAATTCGATATTCCTCAAAATGTGATTGTTGGAATATTTTCCTCACAAAACGCAACCAAATCTAATTAAGAATAGATTTTTAACATATATTTAATTATTTTCAATTATTTAAAGTGTCAAACTATCATGTTATGTGACTGTTCAGCCCCAATTAGCCTGTTCATATATGATTTGCAGTTCTGTAATTTCTAGTATTTCTCTTTCTAGTATAATGTTCACTTGGGGCTTTCACAACCTTGACTTAAATAAAAAAATGTGGGTTTAACAATCATTAGGTTGGACCGTTGCAGAGAGCTTTCCATGATAAATATATGTCTTGAATTGATCATATTTCTGCTTTTAATTTCAACTGATGATTTCTCACACAAACACACCAGCAGTCCCATCATGCTATTAACCATGTATACCTGGGCGAGGCTTGTTAGCAGCGACACCCAAAACTTAATGGCTGTTTCACTCTGTAAGCGAACTAAAAAAAGCAAAAACAAAGCAGTACCTGTTTTATTAGTAAATGTTAGTAAATTGTTCTAAGATGGTAATGTAGAGAGTGTTGGCCTAGTGGTTAGAGCAGTGCGGTTGTGCTCTGAGATGGTTGCAAGGACCCGGTTTGATCCCCCACAGCCAGCTCTCTGAGGCTCTGGGCAAGACCCTTATCACCCCACTGCTCCCCGGGCGCTGCACAGTGGCTGCCCATTGCTCCCCAAGAATTGTTTAAATGCAGAGAGTTAATTTATCGATTATGAGATCAATAAAGTTCAGTTTCTATGTGCTCATCCAGTCACAGGGCTAGGTCTAAACTCTCTTGAGTAAGAGAATGGCGTAAAATTGTAAAATATAACAAAAGGTATCATCTGCTGTAATACGTAGTGTTGAAATCATCTCATTGTACCAGAGATGGGGGATCTGGAGTCATTAAGTCATCTCTATGTCATGTATTTGTTCTGACCAGGTGGGTCCAATCTGGTTTAACCTGTGCAGATTGGACTCACCTGGTTCAGTGGCTGGGTAGAACAAATACATGACAAAGAGATGACTTGTTGACTCCAGATCCCCCATCTCTGTATTGTACATATACAGTGGTAGTAATAATTTTCATACCTTTGAATAACAATTATTTTAAATCTGTTTTTTTGGGGTAGACCTACAAAAATGAAGCCTAGAGGTGTCTCTAATGGGTTAACTCCTCCTAGACCTGTTTTGTACCTGCTTTCATGAAAATTAATGCCCTGGGAAATGGAGACAACAGCCAACAATGCAAATGTATGTGTTCTTTAATGTCTCAGATTTTATTATTTGTGGTTCAGGTTCCCAAATATGATATATATGTATGAGGATTGCGGCCAGTGAAAAAATAAAAAAAGTTAACTGATTTTTAAATTTTATTTCAGTATATTATGAGGGGGAAAAAAGTCAGAATTCTGACTTTAATCTCAGAAGTCTGACTGAATTTTGACAGCTACTAAACATTGTAGCATCAAGCCGTAGTCAGGATTGTGAGATTAAGTCAGGATTGTGAGAAAAAAGTCAGAGTTCTGAGATTAGTCAGAATTGTGTAAAGTCAGAAATTTTATAATTTATACATATTATAAAAATGTATAAATTATAAAATTTCAAAAATCAGTGAACTTTTTTTTCTTTTCTCAGAGTCCCTAATCCTCTTCTGTAGTTATAGTATGAGTTATTATCTCCAAATAATAAAGATCGTAATCCGTCAAAACGAACGAGTTGAACCTGAACTCATCATAATGTTTACCTAACGCTTATTGGTTTAACCAGCCTGTTATCTGGACCAATCACAGAACGAAGGCGGGTGAAAGGCATGACGCGCCCCACCTTGTTTCTGTCACGTGACGGGAGCTTAGGAAGATGGTGGAAGTTTCTTGTTCTTCGGAGTGAGACACCCCAAATACAAACTAAATATCTCTTCGGAACAGGTTGGGAAGACGTTTCAGTGCCGCCAAAACACATTCCACAACCCCCCATTTTGGTCTCGGTAAGGCTGAATTGTTTCTCCTAGCATAGCGGTTGTCGTAAAGATTCCATACTTTGGTATTTTAAGCTGCCGTATCGATGCAGGCCAGCAGGTTTCAGTTAGCCGGACAGAGAGGCTGTCAAACCTGGAGACCAACTGAAGCTCAAGGTGTTAACAGCAGATACAGTGGTTCAGTAGATAAAGCCGTTCATCGTGACAGTTCGTGTTTTTGCAGTCAGAACAGGAATCGCCATTGTAGCTACATCAGTTAGCACTTTCAGAGTTCGAGAAAATTATGTAATGTTTGTCATGTTTATCGGGATACGGTGCCAGGAAAGGCTGGGTTAGCTGTTTCTCTGGGTTGTTTTCTAATAAGAAGATAAATAAGCTGTTTGTTTCCATGTGGTTCAGCTGTCAGTTAAAAACAATCCAGAAATATAAGAGGTCTGGTCCTCTGCGTCATTTCTGACCGTGTTATATACTCCTTAAACAGGAACACAATGCAAACTTATAGGTTTCAGTCTAAACTTTGACTTGATCAGTCTGACGTGAATGTTGTGTTTCTGACTCATTAAGACAATTCAATGCTTTCATCTTTTATGTTCTGTATTTTATTCATTTATACTCCTCTTTAATGGCTGTAGGTATTTATGGTTATCCCCTTCTTTCTCATATTTTGGGTTTTGTCTTTTGTTTTAATTTTGTCTCCTTTACACCTTTCAATATTCACTTAGTCTATTTTTAAACTTAAACCAGTTATAGAAAGGTGACTCCTTAGGAGTGCTTCATAAAACCCGCTTCATTTTTAAGCCAGGCTTAGTTAAACTAGTCAGGCTTTTGTCTCCTTTCCAGTTTCATAAAGCAGGCTTGATCTGAGTCAGACTCGGTAACTATGACTCTGTGAAGTTTGCCTGGTCAGGTCCAGGTTTAGAGCTGACAGAGTTTTAACCATTATCTTTTTTTGGATTGTTAATTCATGAGCTGATTAATAAAATAATCATCAATTAATTAAGTTAACGATTAATCATTAATTAAACTGAGTATAGGGACTTTAAAATGTGCCTTTAGCAGATAGAGCAAGTCATTTAGAGCAGCGATTATATCAAAATATATAAACATTTTCCTTTAAGCTCAAACTTTGTCTTTGTCCTTTGACTTTGTCTGTCAATATGCTCCATTCAGAACTCCTCAAGCGGAAAAGTTTTAGTTTCATCTGGTTTAATTTGGTAAAAAATCTCCCTTAAGGAACCTTTGGCTTTCCGATTGTTAAAAGATTAATCGAAAACAGAGGAATCGTTTTGCTAGATAATCGTTAGTTGCAGCCCTACAGTAGCATAGTATATCAGTTGGGCCTGCATCTTTAATGGAAAGGTGGCCCTATAGTCCATTTGCAGAGGCACCATGACAACAACCTGCTCCGTTTATGGCTGTTTTCAGACTCGGAGTAAAAGAGAAGAAGAACATGTACAGGAGAGATAGAGAGAAACAATCTGGTAATAAATGGAAGAATATGAAGTGCATGTTTTCAGCCAGCTTTTGTCTAATTTGGGGTTTAATAAAAGAGTAGATGAGCAGCCATGTAAGGACAGAAATTTCTCACACTGCGGCTTTAGTTCAGATATAAAATGGTCAAATTTGCAGGTTGTAAAAACGTCTTAGTCTTGTTTTTAATCTCCATGATAAATGCTCCTGCCCTCTATAAATGATGGCATGCGCAAGAAATGCAACTGATCCGTTTTTCATCTATTTATTGACCAAATTACATTACATTTTACTTTCAATTAAATATAAAAGTATTGTTAACATTCAGCATCTCACTGAACAAGAGAAAAGTGTTAACCTCTCTTGTAAACATTTTTGCACAAAGGTAAAGGAGCCTTTTGCACACCTTTGAACTAAACTGCATGGTTTTGCTGCAGGTGGTGGGAGATGTTGGTTATGTTACTTTGGGTAGTTCTCACAGTCTTCAGACAAACTTTGAATTTCATGTCCTTTTGCTCAACATTCATGGAGTAATTTTTGTGCCACCGAACTAAGCGTGCAGTAAGAACGATGTGAATCGTTTAAACTCCTCCAACCTTGCACCAAACCTGTCCTCCACTCGCTCAACTCTGATGATGCGTGCTCCGCTTTATCTCTGCGCTCACTTGGCTACACAGGATTAACTGATGTCATTTAGTTTGCGGCTGTGTTAGACGCTTCCTCACTGGGCTCATCCGACTGTCCTTTATTTATGCTTCTTCTTACTGGATGGGTCACATGATTACACAGACGCTGCAGTGTCTTAGCAAAATTAAGTTTATTTCTTTTACAAACACGGGAAAATTGATGCAGATTATCATAGTTAATGTCACTAATGGTATATGTTCTGTTTATCACTCAGGCCTATCTCTAATCACTACCATGAGCCTCTTATTGGAATCTTGGATTAACGCTTTCCTTTCCTGACAGCTGTATGTTTGTAGGTTTGCAGTTCTTCTATCCTTCTTCTGGATGATGTATTTGGCGATGCTCTGTAAATGTTCAGAGCTTGGTCATATGTAATTCTTCACTAAACTGTTAAACACTCCCTGTCAGCTGGGCTAATGACACGGTTGCTGCTGAAATCAGCAATGCACCATAAACAACAAATATCTCATTTCCAGATGCAGGACTATGTGTAAAGTTGAGCTGGAGGCTCTTTGAAACGTCACAGGAGCATTGTTTTTATTCTTAGTGTGAGTCAGCGGAATGTGGAACAGTATGAACATGTTAGACTTTTAAAACCTGTTCACTGTCTATGATTATAATCGGTTATGAAAAACCCAGGAGGAGCTTTTTAAAACCACAAGACAGTGCTCATGCTGTAGATTCAGACCTGCTTTGGTGTCTCATGTGTTTAAAAACAGGTTGACAATTCAGTAATGCTGCAGAAGTCTTAAAATTGTCAGGAAACACCTCCTTCTGCTGTTATGCTGATTGTTTCATGATCTATTGTAGTCTTGTGTGGTTGAGCAACATTTTTGATATTTAAATATATAGAAAAAACAGGGAAAATTAACAGTTGGGTGGGGGACATGGAAGCAGGTAAAGCCGGTCTTTTAACCCCTTAAGCTTGACAGGCCCGTTATCAGGCGAAGCTGATCTATGTTTGGATAGGGTTGAAACACGGTGGCGATTTTTTTTCACCCACAAACCTTTCAAGAAGAGGCTTTAAAGTTTCTAAAATAACAATCAAAAGAGTTTTTTTTACACAAATACTTTTTGTTTTACTACAAATTAGAGTTAAAGTTCTAGTGACATGTCGTCCTCTGCGCAGCAGTACGAAATTAGGGCTGGGCGATATAACCTTAATTCAATATAATGATAAATTGGGCATTACCTCAATAAGAAAAAAATGCTCTGGCTCCTCTATCAGAAATAAAGGCATGTGCAGGAAATGCAACTGATCCAGTTTTAGTTTTATTTTTATAACTTTATCATTTGAATATATCACTTACTTACATACTTACACTTACTTTAAAATAAATATTAATGTGTTGTACCCATTAAAGTTTAAACATTCAACAATGCCTCATTGAAATGGAGAAAATTTTGACCTCTCTTGCAAAGATTTTAGCACAAAGGTCATGGAGCCTTTTGCACATCTTGGTGGTGGAGATTTGATGTGTTACTTTGGGTAGTCCCGACAGCTTTCAGGCAAACTTTGAATTACTTTTCTTTTGCTCAACTTCTATGGCGAACTCAGCCTGCAGTGAGATCAATGTGCATCGTTTAAACTTGCACAAAAACCTCTGCTGCATGCTTAACCCTGACCACATGCCCTCTCGACTTCCTCTCTGCGCGCTCAGCTTCATCTCTGCTCTTGCTCAGCCCCACAGGATTAATTGAGGTCATTTTGTTAACGGTGTTAAATGCTTCTTCACTGGGCTCATCCGCCATTCTATTTGTTGATGCTTCTGACTGTATGGGAGTCAAGTGATTACACACACTGCTGCAGTGTCTTAAAGGGGCAAGGAATACCTGCCACCAGCGCACGAAGGAAAAGCGATAAAATTTAAGGTATTGTGGAGGATCTTTGTGAATTTTTTTTTTATAAGACCCGCCCTCTCTTCAAAAAAAAAAATGACATTCACAACCCTGTGAAGAGAGAAAGCCTATTAAACATGTTCGAGAGCATGCATAAGCCCATTTCTCCTCATGCACGCTCTGTTTAAATGTGGCTGTTCTCATAGCTCATACAAGCTTACTTTGCCTTGACGTCAGCCCTAACCCTTAAATCCCTCAATCACTGTATAGAGCGGGGACTTTATAGCGAACTCAGTTAACTTCCCGTTCAGACAGATGATCACTACTTTTTGCTCCCCATTGGTCACGTAACTCCTCCTCCACTGCAAGGTGCCTGCGGCATTTTTGTTATTAGTCGCCGCTGTCGGATAGCGGCAGCAGCCACTGTGACAGCAAATCCCATAATCATCACCCAGGTTGTCATAAATAATATAATATGGTACTAAAAGTACTTATTTTCTATTCCTTCAATTTTCAAAGAATGCTAAACTACATCTTTAAAGGATATTTAATGACTTTATTGAGACAATTGGATGCTTTTTAAATTCTCTGTTAAATTGCTTGTTTGAAGGCATCATCGGACATGCTGAGAGCAGTCCAGCAAAATATGATTACACCATTGTTTACGTTTTATTTTCAGCTTATTTACACTACTTGTTTCAAAAAGTGCACACTTGAATAATTTAGAAAATAATACTGATCTGGTGATAAAAATGTTGCAATGAGCCCTGTTTCTTGCAGCCTCACTACAACAGTAATGATTTTCACTCAGAGATGATGAAAAGATCCGTGGAGATTGCTTTTATGAATAATTTACGCTGTAATTTTATATTTTCAGCTTATTTACATTATGTGTCTGCTATTTCTAAAAGTGGACAAATAAATAGAGTAGGAAAAATTTCTTATCTGGTTATCTGATAATGAAAAACTTGACGAATTCTGTTTCCACCCAACCTCTCCTCACTTAAACTACTCTATGTTGAAATGATTTAAGCAACTTTATAAAACTTTAACATTATCCACGCTTTAGTAATACACATTACTTTTGAAGAAGAACAAAATACCTTTTTTTTCTGGCTGTTTTCATGGTATAGTTGGACATTATTTTAATAAAACACAGCATATGTATGCAGAAGTAGCAATAACATGGAAATCAGCACTTTTGTTAGACCAGGTTCCTTTTTTATTACGGGAAAAAAAATGTATTTGGAACGTTTTGGACACTTTGGCACATCTGTGCCAGAGTAACATGCTCGGCTGCCATGCTGTCCACTAAAACTTTGTAGAATAAACATACTTCAACCGGTTCAGTCCAAATTTGTCATTGTCAAGGTGTGGTTCTATACATTCTGATTCTACAGTCAGAGTTTCTAAGAGGTTTTCATGCTGTTTTTCCGTGTTAATCTTTGAAAAAAAATGTCAAGGCTTACAAATTATGATTTTTTTGTTCTGTTTGATCTCACCTATAAATCAGAAATGATGACACCTACAATAGTGGTTCCACTTGAAAATAATCTTTAATGACTTTGTATCATATGAATATTTTTTCCTACACGTCCAGCTTATAACTTAGGAGCTTCTCTTGATTTAATCAGGTATGTAATTCATGTGGAAAGTGCTTCTAAAACTCCGGCTTATGGGGTTAAAAGTGCCTCTATAGTAGATTATCTATCTTAAGAAGGGGAGGGGGGGTGCAGTTAGAAGAGGGCATTTTGGAGTTTAATATTCAGCAAACGCCACGATCAGGCACGATCAGAGCAAAGTTTACCTTGTTGTAGAGCCTCAAAGTCAGCTGTTGCAATGAATTATTGACTGAGATCAAAGCCGTAGTCAGAGTGAAAGTTCCCCACTTTCTCCAACTCTGACGAGATGGAGTGAGAGCATGAATTATTCAGAGACTCGGAGGTAATCAACCAGATTCAAGGACAGGTTTAGGATCTGGTTCCTGTGCACGCCTGCCCTGATTCCCTATTACCATACCTGGCTAAAGCTGCAGCTTTTATGTTATGGGTCACAGTTAAGACAATTTAAGAAGGGGTTGCTGTTTATTCACTGCCAGTAATAAGCTGACATTATATCAATCAGAAAATCTATATTTAAGCTCTATACCTGCCTTGGTCCGCTTTACAAAACCTCCCATGTGCTCCTCAACATTTTAAGAGCTGCAGAGCACATTGATACCAATTAGGGGGGCCATTTCTATAGCACCAAAAAGGAGGACATTGTGCGGCATATCAATAAATTACTATGGTGTACATAAGAATCGGGTAAAGTCACATTTATAGTACAATTTTTAATAGTTTAAAGAGGATGCTTGTGTAGCTGAATAGAACAAAATATTAAAGAAATGTAATAAAGAATTGGTTCCCAGCATTTGCATTTATTTAATACATTGTGATGTTTAAAACGTGACCACCAAGATTAATCTTTAAAGTGCAGAATACCACAAAAATGTGTGGACTTAAATGTTAAAAAAAATCTTTTTAACAAGAAACATACATAATAAAATAGCCTAATATTTTTTTAAACAACAAAAGAGATTGTAGAAAACACATTCATCTACTCTAAAAGTATAGCTTTATTTTTAAGAGCCTCAGTCTTTATGGTCATCCCTTTAGCTATGGGCCAATCACTGAAATCCACTTTCATGTCACAGTCTACACTTCCGTAGGACTAGTGATGTTTATAGTATAGTCCACCTTGCAGCTCTGCACAAGTTATTTTAGCATCCAGGGGCGACAAAACTTTATGTAAAAGCCAACATTGAAGAGTTCCCTGCTGCACGTTTATTACTTTTATGTTAATCCGTACTCGCACGCCGTTCAATTGCAGCTTTTCCTCGACTGCTTACGCTCACATCGCATCGACAAAGTGGCAGAAACCATGGAATGAATCTCCACTACCTTTGGTCATAAATTCACGCTCTTTTGTCCATTCTGGGTTAAACGACGTCCTGGTTTTGACAGGACGCTAACTTTAATGCTTAGCCTCAGTAATTCTGATCCTTGTTTACTTTTGTAACCAATGACAAGCAGATCTTTACCTGACACGCCGCCACTCTTAGCCAATCATGTGATAGATCAGACAGTGATGCATTTTTGATGATTTAATATTGTGCTGCAGCCCAGCAAAAAAATAAAAAACAAAATCTGCTCTACAAGCCTAGTGCCTCATAAAGGAGGACAAATACACATCCGGCTGGATGCAGCACCGGACAGTGCAATAAAAAATCCGGACTGTCTGCCCTAAAGCCAGACATCTGGCCACCCTGATACCAATACATTATTTATATTTGATAGAGATGGACTTAATAATTGGTCTGGGACCAGATGTGGCCAGTGTTGCTTAATGGGTCGCAGACCAAAACATGTTAACATTTTTCCCAGTTTTGAAGTACATTAAACAGGTCACATCTGCCTCAACTTTTCTCCGTTCATAAAAAAAAGTTAAAGGTTTCTGACTTACAATGATTTACAATGTGACTCAACATGTCGGACTAAAAGGACGATAACTGAAAACTACAATCAGCAGGATGTACCTTATCGCTGCCTGTAAGGCGTATAATTAATTGAGCTTTATTGATCCAACACTAGAAAAATGTACCTCTAGATAATATGGATAATATTATTAGTAACGATAATATTGTCTTTTTGTGTCACCCATTCTTCAGAGTATGAATTAAGTTTCCTCAAAACACAGAATTTGTAATCTCTAAAATCTAATCTCCCATGGTGGTGAAGCATATGCATTGCCTGATGGCTCGCACTTATAGTCATTTAGGTGAAGTATATGCCTTTATTTAAATGTCCCACAATCCCTTTATTGTCCCACAATGGGGAAATTCACTCTCTGCCTTTAACTCATCCCCTTGGGGGAGCAATGGACTGCCATTGTGTGGCCCCCAGAGAACAGTGTGGGGTTAGGGTTTTGCTCAGGAACCCAGACTGAAGGTTGTAGGGATCGAACCGGGTATTTGCTACCTTCTCAGAGCACAAGCACACTGCTCTAACCACCAGGCCAACACTCCCCCTTTATGTATTAGGTTTAATATTTCTACTCCACATAAATACAGTACCTGCATGGGTAGGGAGGAAATGCAGATGGATTTATGTTTGTTTATACTACCTGTATCTGACTTTGTGCCACAGAAAGTTTACCCGGGCTGTGCAGATCTGGGTTTGACCTATTTAGACTGGTTCTTGTTGTCCCTCACCTGTGTAGATCTAAAAAGGAGCATTTTAAACACGTTCATTGAATAAAGGTCATTTAGCCATTTAAGACGAAAATTGAAATAAATCGGAACAATAATTTTGAGTGAGGCTTTGGTTAATTGGTATTCTGTGTGTTTGTCAGGCTCTCTTCCCAGCCCTATGTCATGGCCAGTGGAGTCAGCAAGTCCAGCACCTCCAATGGGTACCCCATAAAGGCACAGCTACAGGTCACTGGTAAGTTCCCTTTCAGTTGATTCACTTAGTACAACACATGAATCTGGTATATCACACCCCTGTGTATCCTGGCTGAACCCACTTCTAATCACGCCTTTGAGGCAAATGACATGATGACGACAAGAGACGGGCCCCGCCTGCACCATATATGTGTCCGTCATTACTGGCATTACTCAGTTCTTACGCTCTTCATCTCACTAAGAACACCTCTTGGATTCAGGCTAGCTAGCTTCTGTTGGCTGGCTCTGTTTTTGTGAGGCTACTTGAAAGTAGTTTAAAGATTTTGTTAGTTGGCCACTGCCCCCTGCAGTAAGCAAGCCTCTCATCCGCATGCTAAGTTCAAGTATACCTATCTCGCTTTGTGGTTCGGCGTGAGCACAAAGCAAACAGAAAGGGACCAGAAGACTACTATTTACTCCTGTCCTCAGGGTTGTGGCTTCCTGATTCCCGACAAGGACAAGGCCTGTCGCATGTGTCTTGGTTATCGTTCACCCTCAGAGAGCATAGGTGCAGCCTGAAGCATGTGGGTTCTGTTGCCAGCTTTATTGCTTTACCCTGGAGAGATGGTCTTGAAGTCTTAAAGGAGCTGCTCAGCTCCTCTACAGTCTGGTGCAGAGGGTTGAAGGTGTTGTCCATGATGGATGTAAGCTTGGACAGCATCCTCCTCTCAGCCACTTCCTCCACAGAGTCCAGAGCGCAGCCTAGGACAGAAGCAGCCTTTCTCTCTAGTTTTGTCAGCGTCTTTATGTCCCGCTCTGCGCTGCCAGAGGCCCAGCAGAGGACAGTGCAGAGTAGAGCTGATGCCAACACAGAGACATAGAAGGATTTAATCAAGGGCCTGCTCACTCCAAAGAACCTCAGCCTCCTCGGGAGGTGGAGGCAGCTCTGGCCCTTCTTATACAGGGTGTCGGTGTTATTAGTCCATTCCAGTTTGTTATTGATATGAACACCCAGATATTTGGAACTCTCCACAGTTTTTATCCTGCCCTTGGATGTAAACAGAGGAGTGAGGTGGGGGGTCTTCTCCTGAAGGGATCACCATCTCTTTGGTCTTCCTGGTGTTACGACACACGTGGTCCTTCTCACACAAGTCCACAAAGTTCATGATGACAGATTGATTCCAGCTCATTCCCCTCAGAAACCTCAGATGACCTACCAGTCTTTGTTTTGGGAAACAAATGTGTGCATGTTAGAAAGTGTGACTGCTTAGATCTCGCTCTAATGTGAATGTCTATTGTTAGGGATGTTCTGATCACAATAAATTATCTGTACTTTTCATACTTATTTAATGTGAAATGTTAAAAAAGAAAGCCTAATTAGGGAATTTTACTCGGAGAATAATAGTGAACATCAATAGATATGAGAACTGATCCATTTAAGTTACATAGACCCTGAACAGAAGCAGAGTGTTTGTATGAACTTGCTTATAGCAGAGATGTTTAGTTGCAGGTGGATAAATTCAAATATTTGCTTTTTGGTTTCCGATATCACATAGGGACATCTCTATTTATGATACACATTTTCATTTTGCTAAATAAACCTCCTTTTGACAAAAACATCTTCCTAAGTTCAGATAAAAAAAATTTTCTACATCAAAATTTTGTCTCTCACTCTCACATTGTGCCATTTTCTATGCTGAATCTTTATCCTGTTTTAATTCCCGTATCCTGCCTGTGACTCGCTGCTAAAAAGCCACTTCTGTCTGTTTCAGTGCTATCAGCGAAACTGAGAGAAAACAAGAAGAACTGGTTTGGCCCCAGTCCTTATGTGGAAGTGACAGTCGACGGCCAGTCCAAGAAAACAGAAAAATGCAACAACACTCACACCCCCAAATGGAAGCAGCCATTCACTGTGTAAGTCAGAATAACTGAAGCCTTATGTGGCCCTTTATGACCGCTTTACCTAAAAGAGCCATATACACAGGACTCACTCAGCTGTGCAGAAAGCCTCAACTTTTACTCACATCTAAACTGAAATATTATCAATCTGGTTTAGGGCACTTAAAACAAGTCTATCTATACTGAAAACTTGGATCAAAATCTAGATTTGACTTCAGCACAAACTTTCTCTTGGTTAATTTTAGAAGAGAACTCTAAACTCAGAGTTTAATGAAAATCTTAAGGTGAGGTTTGTAAACACCAATCATATTCTACCTTTTGTTTATTTGCTCCACAGTTGGATCAGGAATGTTAGCCTTGTTATAGAAAACATTGCAGCACAAGGCTAATCTGTTGTTGATCAATTATCCATGCACAAAATAATAATAAAGTGCTCACAATAAGTGCAAGTTTTTAAATTACCCATAATTTAAATGAGGTCATGTTTTAAAAAGAGGCTTGAGGTTTTTTCTTAAGGATAGTTGAAATGCTGCCGTTGCAGCATCTAAAGGCCATTTCCCAAGAAGACTGATCGGACAGTTTGTGTATAGTTGGAAATTTAGAAATGAATTTTGTTGCACCAGGGGTTTTACAGAGTTTCTCAAGACTTTTTCTGCAGCAACATCCAGTTTTACAAATGAGTCACCACATCTAGCTTTGCTTACTTAGTAAGAAAATTAACATTTATTCACATAGTCATGATCCTGATAAAGTCCTTAATATCCTAAATTTAAAATCTTTCCTGAAATTTGCTAGCACCTGAGGAATATTGTTTATTTCTGTCTTTTCTTTCTGGGCTCTGGGCTCTCTTCCTTCCATGTGACAGTTCTTCCTCCAGCTAGACTTATTTTAACTTTGATCTTTCTTGTCCTTTACATTTCTCCCTTCTATCTTCCCATTCCACTTTTGCTCCTTGTCCTTCTCTTCTTCCTGCCTTTCCTTTCGTATTGTGCCCTATCACTATTGTTTAATAAATTCACCACTTGATCAAAAGTACTAAATACATAGAATAACCTAAAAGCAGCCTTCTTGGTTTTTATAATGCACAAAACCAGATTAACAGAAGAGAATTTCTTTTGCATTATTTTCCCACAATATCTTTGCTTTTTTTTTTATCAACAGAAGGAATCTGTAGACAGACTTTTTACATTTTGTAGTATAGAGAGGTTCTTCCAGACACTATTACTCATCAAACTCTGTGCTCAGTGGAGATAAAAACTCACCCAGGTTTTCCAAAGATTGTATTATTTGCCAGATTTTAATCTGATGGGAAAAAACAACCAAATATTGTGCGTTACTTCAAACACATATTCCCTTTTAATGGATTTTTTACTTGCTACCAACATGATCCTACATTTATTTTATCCACTAAACCTTTTGATAGTTCCTCTATAATTTCAAGAGCTCTATGTCATGTGTTTACTAAGGGAGGTAATTGGAGCCATATATTCAGTGTCTTTTCATGGTGCTAGTGAAACAGCTGCCATAGTGTTGGTTATAGACACTCTCTGTCCTTGAATAGCCTCTATTAGTCAGAGGAGCAAAATAGGAAAAAACTATTCTTGAGTGTGAGTGTACATAGCTACAGTTTACATACCCCCCAATTAGAAAATGGTGAATAATAATTAGGGATTGCAGTTTGAATACGTCATAAATAAAAAAAAAACAATTGTGATTATTTTAGAGTGCCAACTCCTTGCATGAGCATTTTAAATTTGGGCCATTGTGTGACCCGGGTAGTGGTTTGGCCGTAATGCCAAAATCAGAAGTAGAAATGAATGTGAAATTTTGTTTTCAAAGAAATGAAGACTGATCTGTCAACAAAGTGATTTGTAATTATTGCAAAATTATCTCCAAACCCAACCTGCTCAGCTGAACTTTTAAAAACAAGAAGTATGTGGCTACAGCTGCTAGTTCTGCCATGAGAACACTTCACCAAGCAAAGCCTGCCTAGTTTGGTAAATGAACGAGCAAAGTCACCAAAGACTGGTTAGCTATACACTTCAATTATATCCTAGAATTCATATTCTTTATTTGGGTACATTTAGCACATTGCACCTAATCCTGCAAGGTTACCTAATTTCTCTGCCCCAACACACCTAATTCTAATTAATGACTCAATGTACAGAACTTCATAGCCTGTCTGGGAGCCGTGTTATATGCCATAGAAAACCAAAAGGACTGCGGCCCTTGAGGACCATTGTTCCCCACCAAGCTGCAAAGAAGCAATAATTTCAGCCATACCAAAAGAAGGCAAAAATAAAATTGAGTGTGGATCCTTAACGCCAACTTCAGTCCTATGCTGGTGAAGATTCTCAGTCCTCCAGGTCATAGTCATTCCAAAAAAGTAAAAAAACAATCCACTGGACTTTGTCTCCAAGTTTGAAGACGTTTCACTTCCCATCCTGGAAGCTTTTTCAATTCAAAATGTCAGAATTAGCATTGAGTTTGAGGCTCTGTAGAGTGGTCTGAAACAAAGCCTTGTTGTGGCTTAGAAAAACATGCAAATTGAACCTGAAAGACGGGTTCGCCCCTCAGGAATGGGGAGTTGGGTTCTTTGTTAGCCTGCAATAGGGCTGGGCGATAATTCAATAACGATATATATCGATCGATAGACGTGTGGCGCAA